AAAGCTTTCTGTCATTTTCTATGTATGTCATTATTGCATTGCTACATGAACTAGGCATAGGGGGGTAAGAGACTTAGAGCCGGTAGGGATGTTGACTCATTTTGCTTTACCATTACACTAGAGGACTACAGATGGAGGAATACTAGTGTTGTGGCTCCTAATTTCCTGGAACTGGGTGCTAGTAAGGTCATATACATTCAGTTTCGGGAACTGAGTGCAAGAGTGAGCAACACATTTTTGAAGACGGTAGTATCAGCCAGTTGAGTCCATGTGTGCTACTGTGTACTTGTACTTTCTATGATGGTTACTGCTGTATACCTGTAACTAACTGCGTGGGATTGGAACTTATACATCCCACAGGAAGTTGTAAAACACTTTCTCAGCAATTGTGTCTCATTAATCGAACTCTACTGAGTCTATTAATATGACATTAAAAGTTTAATTGTTATAAAAGTTTAAAATGTTCCTTGTGAGAGGTCTAATTATTTGCTAAACTAAAAAAAATGTTTGGCAAATTGTTCTGACTATAGTGGTCTGAGGTGATAAAAATGCTAGCACTTTTTAGTGTTGATATAACCTAATTGCTTCATTTAATGAAGCTCAACACAGCTGAGGTTGTTTGTAGCAAGCACAAAAAGACATGATGAAAATAAGACTAATGCTGCCTGTCAGGCCAGCGTTAAATTCGAGGCCACTGTGACATTAACATCACTACCAATGAGTATAAGGTCGGCGTACGTACGTAGATGGGAGTGTTTCACTCTTTCTCCATAAGTCCGGTCTCAAATTGTGAAGGGGAAAGAGTTAAATTATAGATGTGGATGTGAAATCATAAAAAAACAGCAGTGAAAAAGTAAAAAGTGAAGTTAAGCCTCAGGAGGAACATAACATTGACATGGGGAGGTGTGGGTTTGGCTTTTTTGTTTGTGTGACAAGACAAAAATACAGGAAGCTTAAAGGACTTTGATAGTATGGACTGTCTGCTATAAAGCTATGAGTGAAGCTAGGTGTGCCAGTGTGTCAGTCTGGTTAATCCTATGCACTCTACTGTATTTTCAACTACATTAGTCTTGCTTGTAACAGACATACAATACTAGTGCTATTGTTATATTAGTTTGATTAATTAAAACATGCTTTATTAATACAGCAAGGTAACGATTTTAGTAAAGGTTATAGCAAAAGCCGAATAAAAAGATCAATCTTACATTTCTCCTGCGTTCTGCTGGTCTGGAAAAAATATGGGAAAGAGGATCACAGTTAGTCTCGTATTATCTGTTGAATGCACCAAATATATAAAAACTACTACAACTTCTACCACATGGAGAAAAAGACACAGGACACATCTAATGACACTAAATCATGGGCTACACCACTGAGAAATCACAATCTAATCTACTAAAGCAAACTAAACTCTAAAGTGTTTAAAGCTTTTTAGTTCTGGTGGTAAGACAGTGGACAGGAAAGATAAGCAGAGCTAATTAGTGGGTGATGGAGTGGGAAGCGGTGGCTGCTTTTACCTCATCCTCTTGCTCTTGGTCTGAATCGGATTCCTTTTGGGAGCAAGAAGCAGCGAGAAGCAGAGAGATGTACAGATAGAAACAACAGTAACATTAAAGTGGGGAAAAAGACAAGCGACGTGGGGTTACCACAGCAACACAGACAACAGGTCAGTGGGATTTTGTGGGGAAGCCAAAGTGGTCTCAGAAGATGTATAAGGCAAAAAGCTTGAATCTAAAAATCTTACATTTATCTTTATCATGTTAGCCTGAATCTCACTTACATCTTTTTGTTTCTTGCAGAGGTGGTAAAAGTACATTCTTTAAGTCAAAGTTCAAATACTTGAGGTTAAAAAAAGCACAAGTACTGATTAAAACTCTTTACTCAAGTAAAAGAATAAAAGTACAGGTTCTGAAATGTACTAAAACTATAAACTTCCGGCTGTTTCTGTACAAAGCAAACTGAGACTCACAGCTTGTGCATTAAAACCAAAGTAACAAGCTTGTTTAGAAAATGTAAGGAGCAGAAAGTACAGATATTTGTTTAAAAAAGTAAAAGCAAGAATTTACCAGAGAAATACATTCTATAGGTAAGTACAGATACCTGAACAATCTACTTAAGTACTGTAACAAATTATATGTATAGTTACTTCCCACCTCTGATTACTTGACCCATTTAAAATCCATAATAATGAATAATGTATAAACCAATAATGTTGGCAGCTCATTTGCCTCTGGGATGTCAAACATGTATATTAGGTGATAAGCAGGTGATTACGGAGGTTACAGTATGGTCCAGCTTACAAGCAACCAGAGCACTTCATTTTAGTGCAACTGCCAGTTTTACTTACAAGAACTAACAGAGATAGGCTCCTCGGTTGTTGAGTCAAACAACAGCGAAGGGTCCTCACCTTACAGTATGATGGGAGGGTGATGTTGAGGTTGCATATAGCATTCTGGGTGAGTGACCTGTAGTTCCTTGGTTCTTTCATAAAGGACAAGCGGCCACACGGCTCCTGAGTGTTGTCTCTTATCTGCAACAGCCAAACAGTGCAGCAGGGGTCAGTCATTCAAGGCTTGAGCTTGTTTCTGTGTAAAATGAATAAATAAGGAATGGCGCTCACTTTGATGAAGAGTGCTAGTCGATTCTCCTTAAAGGCAAAGAAGCTGAAGAGGTGATGTTGGCCACTTTTGGTGAGGGGAACAAGGTTTCCAAAACAGTCTGCATAGATCGGTTTTCCTTCCAGCACCTTTGAAAAATCACAGGGAGATAAGCACAGTGGCTGAATAACAACATAGAGCCAACAGAAACACTGAGCTGGTCCTCTTTTCTTTTTGTTTGAACTCCAACATTTCTCTTTTTCACCTCCCTGCAGTACTGCAACCATTACTTAAGAAACCTAGAGCCCTTGCCCACAGCCTTTAAATTAGCTGGATCTCAGTTTAGGATTTTTTTTTTTTCAATTGATCTGCCTCACATCTCACCTACTTACAAAACCTTTTCATTTGTTTGTGATGTCTCCATCGCAGAGGGTTAAGATTCCTTTAGCTGTTCCGAATAGGCTGTTAAAATTGATTAAGCTACACCAAGACATCATCGAACAATGACTTTTGCATAAAGTTGCTGTGTTATTCATTATTCCTGCCCAGACCTCTCCAATGGATCAGAAGATCCGGGCCTCAGCTGCGGGCTAGAAGAACATTCCTCCCCTGCTCTCCTTTCTCACCTCTACGTCTCGGCTACGGGCCACCTCAGTGAAGTTCTCCTGCTGCTCCAGGGTTTTATCGATCTTGTCGTCTGTCATGCAGAAGCAGCGCAGGCGGGCCTCGATGGGGTCGTGGGTCTTGGCAAAGATGACGAACTTGGCCATGTAAGGGACACAGATGATCTCTCGGTACACCTGAGTGGAGAAGTTGACAGACTCCTGGAGTTGCCGACAGTCTATGAGCCAGAACCTGGAAATCCAAAGTGGGTTTGAAAGAACCAGTGAGGTTAGGCGTTTGCTACACGTGAGTCACTTAACAACACCAATGCAGTCAATAAAACAGTAAATGTTACCTAGCAGACACATTGGTGGTGAAGGAGACACAGTCATTGATAAATGTTAATGGGGTGGTTCCTGTTATATCCTCCCATTGGGCTGGCGTCGTTCCACCTGCACATGGACACAAATGCAAGATTGAATATTAGAACGTGAGCATGTGTCTGCGGTTGTGTCTATTCACGTGTGATCCATGTGTCTTCTCTTACCAGTGATACTGCAGAGCAGGCGTAAGGTGGGTGTGTCTCCCCCAAAACCGTTCAGGACTGGGTCGGAGTTGCTCTTGGGAACAGGGATGGTCATGGTGATGGGTTTATGGAACTTTCTCCTGCGGGGCTCCAGGGTGACAATAGGGCTGAAGGTTGCCTTGTTCCCCAGGTTCTTCCTCACTACATCTATATTCACTGGCTGGGCCTGGGAGAGCAGAAAGCATAGGCAATGACCCGACCTTGTGCTACAAATATTGTCTGAACTAAGTTCAAGCACTGGAAATGGGCTCTTGACTGAGATTTTGACAGCTGTTGAGTAAACTGTAAACAGTGATTATTTTGTCAATTACCTGCAGTCCGACCCTGATCCTCTTGGTGAGGGCCCCTTCGGGAAAAACTGCCTGCACTTGGGGCACAACTGTGCTGCTCAGGATACCTCCCTCAGGACCAATCAGATTGCTGTCCTGCTTGATGCGTGACACCACAGCAAAGTATTGTGGGAAATCTCTGCTGATGATACGGCAAAGGCGCTTCCTCTCCAGCTCCTCCGGTGTGTCCAACTCTGGAGGAGGGAAATAAAAGCAAGGCTGTTAGGGGCATTCAAACTGGAAGGATCTTTGTCCAGGTGCAGTCTATTAACATCCCATCAGAGACTGACCCTCATCCATGCCATTGAGGATCTGGTTGAGTTCTTCCTGGGTGTGTTCACAGTGATGCTCCTTCCAGCTTTCTCCTGTCTCACTCCTCAGTATCACCAGCTCCCTCTCTTTCCCCCGCAGGGCAGCGAAGTGGGGGATCTCCACGATCACAGGACTGGAGAGGTAGAGCACATGTGAGCCAGTGAGGACGGTATGTGCACGAGTGCTTTGTGAGAGCTTGCATCACAGGGTAATTTAACAGGGTTGTAATACTTGAGTGTTGTCCTCAAACATGATATTTAATTGAACTCTGACTTTGTTCTGCAAAGTAGCAGCCTCAGTACCTGGGATCTTCATTAAAACTTAGCTGGATGGACAATGATGAAATACAAAAGTACACGTCATCTCGCAGCACGTTGCTTATATGAAGAAGTGCTCCGTTAATAATGGATGGATTATGCTAATTCCAATGTCTTCCTTGTCAACATTGAGGCAACTCTCGAGATTTGTACACTGAGCTGTTAAGTTGATTGCTCACCACATTTTTAAAGGCAAAACTTTCCTGCAGCTATTTGGTGGTGAATTAAATCCCATGAGTAAGTGTTCAGTTGATTGTCTATATTTACCACTATGTTTCACTTTATCACTTACCTGACATGCATAATCACAACAAGCTAGGTACAATACACATATCTATAAGAAACATGCTACATAACAAGTACAATCCAACATGGGACAGAGACACTTCTGATCTTTTCGTGTGATATTTAGATGGTTCTTTGGCCTAAATACATATTAAAAATATAGTATTTTGAAGCCACAGCTCAAATGCTGGCAGGAGAAATTCCAATATACAGAATTTACATGTAATTTTGTCCTTAAACGAAAGCTTTGATATTGCACTTATCCAGCTAAAGCTGAGACAATTCTAAGAAAACTGATCAGAACTATAAGTGGGCAAGACCATCCTGCATCTATTAACATCAGAATTTTAGGAAATTATTATCCGGTTAACATTTACAGGGCTGTAAGTAAAAATCTGAGCCAACCATCAAACCACAACATGCAATTCATTTCACCAAGTTACTAGTAGGCCATTCAACCATTTAAATTTCACACAATAACAAAAACTAAAAGACAAACATCTACGAAAAAAAATAAACACGGAATTGTAAAAGGCAAAGCAGAAAACAGGAGCAAAGTAAAGTTCAAGCAATGTGATGTCTAGAGGGTAATAAGAATGGGATAAAGACAATAGCACAAGCAGGTCAACACAATAAATTATGGATAAAATAACATTGGATGGTAGGGATTTAAGGGAAAACATTGAGACGAGCATCCATGAATTGTTTCATATGCAAACTGGTGTCTTTTGTTCACCCTACCCGAGGAATTTTGTCCCCGGTGGACCGAGTTGGAGGATTCTGCTAACCAAACTCTCCCCCTCATTAAGAGGTGGAGGGGCAGTGGGGAGGTGAAGTTTACTGTGTGATCAACCAAGCGTCCATATGCAGCAGTGAGGAAGAAAGAGCACACACAATGTTTTGGGTGGGTGCAGAATTGAAACCTTGTTAAAGTCTAATGTGCAATTCATGAGTGAGATGATCACACTTTGTAGTCGTATGTGTGAGGAGGCCTGCAGTTTCCAAAATCAAATCAAGAAATTAAATTCAACAAAACCAATAAACGGTATTTTGCTTTTCACGAAATATATTTTTTTGCTGACATAAGTTGAGTCTTATTTCCTTCTAGAATGTCAATTTTAAAATAACCCAGTCCAAATCCATTATCATTTCATAAAGCCTACTTTTTCTCACTTGATTTATCAAGACAAACAGGGGAGAGCCAGTGGTCAGCTATAGTTTCTATTTCATTCCATTATTGTGAAAAGATGCAGGATGAAAAACAATTTCAAAATAACGAGTAAAGGTTTTACAACTTGAATTAATGTTTCACAATTACATCTTTTGTTTTAGAATTTCTTAACTGTATGCATTTTAAACACACTGGATCTCTACATTTGATGGAATATATAAATTAAGAATGACATTTCTGCAGTTGCAATTATACAGTAGGTACGGTCACAGTGTTAACACGCTCTTGCCAAAAAAAGAACATTTACATTCTTAGGAGGACCAATAATCATTAGATAAAGTGATTCTATTTTTATCTAACTTTTTATTTAACAGTTTATGGACTGCAGAGCTAAATCCTCATAGACAACATATAAATATATACTTGAGACACAATCATATCTCTAATATAAGCGGAGGGCAGAATTTGAGGCAACATATCAAATCAATCATGGTGCAATATAGTGGAGGTGGAGTTAATTAGAAAGGCTTTTGCATTATGGGAGAAGTTGAAAAGAGTTAGGCTGCAGCTGTAATGAAAGAAAATAGGACATGCGGAAGAGCAAAGATTAACCGATCCCTGGCGCTGGGAGAAAGCAAGAGCAGATACAGTTTTAGTAAGGCAGAGGCAGGGGGGAAATTAATCTGAAAGAAAAAGGGCAGCAAGTTGAAAGCTTCTTATTTAACAGGACACAGCTCAATCAACGGACTGAAGGTAGAGGTCATAGTAACTCATGTGTCTAATTAAAGATCTCTCTGACACTAGACAGGCATGTCCTACTAAAATAAATACTTTTTGAATTAAATTTGACTATTTCCATCGTTGTCAAGACATAAACAATGAAAAGGTGTAGGTGCAGTTTTTTTTTTTTCCACCAAAATATCACTAACTAGTAAGTAAATTACACATTCTTCTATTTTTCTATTTTATCTGTATTATACATTTGTAAACAAAAAAAAATCCCAACTTGGTTAAAACATTATACAGACTGAGTCAAGAACAGACAGAATATAAACAATGCAGGTATTAAAATATGAAATACAATACACAAACTTAGAACAGTGTCTGAACAGTACTGGGGTGTGATATAATTCAAGTTGTACCTGATCTGACAAAGTACAGAATAAAATAAACATAAATAAAAATCGATTTAACGTAAATGATGGTCATATCAGTATAATAAAGTGAATCCAACAATCCCGTCTTTTTAAAAACTTGTTGCAATCTAACAGAAGTAATCTTTTCCTCTTTAAGGATATTATAATTTCTGGTTTTAACCACTTCCTAGTGATGGCTTTTCTGCCAGCTGCACTCAGAATTCGAGATAAAAATCCAACCCTTGAAGTGATGCTACCTCCGCCTGTAGAATCCTTATATTTAACTGCTGCGGATTTGATATTTTCAATTCAAGTAACTCACTTCATCGTCATGACGGAATGAATGAATGCGTTAACTGTAGCCTTACCCGAGGAATTGGGCTCCCGAGGGCCCCACCTCGATGAGCCTGCTGGCCAGGCCTTCACCCTCAACCATCGGGGGCATGGTAGCCAAACGGTGCCTCTTCACCAGCCGACACGTCACCCGCGTGGGCGCGCTGCACTTCCTGGGCGGGATGATGATGCGCAGGCCATTGTGTCGGCAACCACGCATGGCTCCACCCCTGGCATCCACCATGAAGCTGACCAGGAAGCTGCGGTGGAACAGGAAGTATTTCCACAAATTAAAAACAAATATTATAATGCCCATTAAGTGCTGAGAAAGTAGACACTAGAGCTAGTTGGTAGATTGCACTAGCAGCATGACAAAAGTAAAAAGTCCTGAGGTGGTTACTTATCCAAAATGATATACTGGTAATGTGAATGGATTTATATTAAGATTAATATATATTTTTATACATTTATATGTATAAAAATATATATTAATCTTCACACGAGGTTCATTTTTATTGGTTGTTCGTAACTTTTTTGTCAGGTGCTGTTCCTAAGCTCTAAGAATGTACTGTCATGCTCAACATTTCAGACAACGGGGATGGAACAGTCTGAAAACTGCTCATCTGCTGTTGCATAACAAATCCTATCTGCTATTGAAGACGGTGCCGCACAGTGGAACCCTCCATAAAAAGCAAATGGATGGACAATGAGTGTCTTTGGAACGACCCTGGCAACATCAGGTTTATTGGTTTTAAAATCTCGGTGTCTGTTTTCTCAACACTGAATGTACAAGACAATCTGGATCACATTAATTCAATTTACAGCTTGAGGCTCTTTGACTTCACTCTCCATGCAAAGAGGCAAATACTGTATGCACATGGATCACACATCTGAGTGGAGGGCGGGTGTGGGTGTGATGAGGATAACTTTGCTGTATGGTACCAAATTGTGTCTTCGTTCAAATGGCCAATGACTTCAATCAAGCAAAACACAACAATGATTAAAACACAGAAGTGACATAAAACACACGTGTGACAAACTTGTTATTGACTTCAGCAACACAACCAGTACAACTGTTAAGAGACAAAGACTGTTGTCCTCCTCTGCTGTGCTTTCAGTGATTGTCTTCTGTACGGTGAGAAAATAAGACGATAAAATGAACTTCTCTGATTCAAGCCACTCTCCGTTTAATGAGGTGATTGTCTGATTTTGGCACAATATTATGCTGAATCTCACTCAACGCCTGGTAGGTATGTTAGTGGAGATGTACAATTCACAAGACGCAGTGTGAAATTAAAGGTGCTATATGTAAGTTTTCTCTGCCGCTGTATGGGGTTTCTTTTCTGGTAACGTCACGGAAGTTATAAAACACCCTCCGAGGCCCAGACTGGACAGTAACTAGGGATCAGAAAGTAATAGAACAGACTGCCCGGGCCAGGACTAGCTGCCAACTTCAGCAGAGGCAAAGAAGAATACAAATATTAGCAAAGCAGGAGTCAACACTGGAAGTAGTTTGATGCAAAACGTGCAAAGTTTCTGCTGGATTGGTTTCAAACAGCAAACATTTGCTGTGTAGCTCGAGCAAAACTTACATATAACCCCTTCAACAAATGTGTCCCGCACTTTCACTGCCTTTTGACATCTCACGTGTTTCTATGAGCTGTGCCGTAAACGTTTCCGAGCAGGTATTATCACAATGAATGCTTGGTTCTTCTTAAAGGTTCAATGTGTAGTATTTAGAGGAATCTATTGGCAGAGGCATAATATAATCAGTGTATAAACGTCTGAAACTAAGAATCCTTGTATTCTTGTTTTCTTAGAATGAGCCCTTTATACCTTCGTCTGGAGTTAAGAGTCGGCCATGTTGCACCGCCATGTTTCTACAGCGGCCCAGCATTGACAAACCACTGGGGTGTGTCCGAAATCACTCGCCATTCTGTAGTGGTGTCAAAATGTTGAGTGAAGTTTTTATACCCTATATAGGGCACTCATTGTTTCCCACAATGCATCATTGTACACCGGCCAAGCAATATGTACCATCATGCATTGCCCTCGTGGTAAGGAGAGGAGGGAAGGCAGTGGGAACAGCCCAACCTGTCGTTTATATATAAATACAGCACAAAGTGCTGGAAACAAGTTTATTTCTGCATTTAAAGATTGTCATTATATATTTTACATTCAAGTATTGATACTTAATGTTTTTTCCGTATCCTGATGAGCTCATATATAGTCATCTATATAGTTATCACTATATAATGAAGCAGGGAATAGTGAATGAGTGGTGATTTCGGACACAGCATGGTTATAGAAAGGGGGCATTCAGGGTATTCAGTACTTTGCAAGTTCACCAATAGATTTCGCCAATTTCCCACAGGTGGACCTTTAACTTGACATATCACGTAAAATGAAATATGTGTGGCTGGCTGAACCCAATCGAAAGATAAACGAGGCAGTATCGGTTAAGGACAGTGACACACATAAACACCTCTCCACCAGGAGAGCACACTGTGAGGGGAGGAAGAGAATGATGAAGATGAGGAGGACAATGATGTAACCAATGTGCAGAAGGGTCACCTGCTGTGGTCTCCATGATCATGGCACGGAGAGGAACGGCTAAAAACAACGATCAGATCAGACAGAGAGGAAGAAAAAGTTAACCAGAAAGAAGAAGAAGAGAGAGAGAGAGAGAGAGAGAGAGAGAGAGAGAGAGAGAGAACCCGGGAGAGGAAAGACAGAGAAGACATGACACTGTCAGAATGAAAAAAGGAAATTTGAGCGATCACAATCTAAAAGGACAGAAAAAAAGTAGAGATATTGAATCTTCTACCAAAGAGGGGAAACATCTATTCAAATATCTGTGAGTCTCTAAAAAAGTTTCCACTTTGGTTGAAATCTAGAAATTCCAAATTCTAGACTTTCATGTCATTTCATCACTGATGTTTACAGATGTATAAAACCAGAACATAATCAAAAGATGTTTGGAGATTGGAGATAAAATTACAAAAGTAAGTTTACTGCAGTCTTTCAGTATATTTCCAACAGCTGCCAAGTGAGAGAAGAGCTTCAGTTACATTTATAAAACACAACTGACATTTTAAATTGATTTCACCAATTAAGAAATTCTGTAATCAAATGTGATTAATCACTTGAAACATACAATCAGCGACTGTTCTCAGGACTGTGATAAAAATACATTCATTGTTTATTCATCATTATGGATGTTTCAGGATACACATTGGCATCACTTGACACGTTTCATCCACTGGCCACATATTTTGTATTATTTGGTTTCTCCAGTCTGTACCTACCCAGAGTGGATGGGGCTGGAGGATAAAGCCACGTTGTCCAGGTTCTCTGTCCCCCAGCTCAGTCTGTATGAATCCCTGTCATTCTCCCTGGCAAGTGATGAAACCTGGAAAAGAAATATTGGAAATATTCTGGGAATATTAACCGAGAACAACAACCTTGTAGTTCGACCTCATAAGATGAAAATTCTTAGTCAATCAGGAGAAGCCCAAAGTTAAAGGCAAGTGAAGAAAGCACTCTATTACAAATCAGATGAGTTCTGTTCACTGGTTTTGAAACCCAGTGTAAAACCCATTAAAACTCTGTGGTCTTTCACAACTAATTCCTAATCAAGTAATGTCAAGTATAACAAATCAGATAATTTACTTTAGTAAGTGTATTAATACCCCAATATATCAAAATACACCATGAAAGGAAAAACCGAATTATTACTAATATAAAAGTACAGAATTGTTAACACAAAAATAAAAAGTATCAAAGTAGCAGTATATTCTTATACATGTAAGCAGTAATGTTGTTGAGCTGGAGATTTGTTTAACCGCTTTATATAATGATAGGTAGTTTTATCTAAAACAGAATATTCTCTTTTATGAACTAGAACAAATGTTTTGTAGTTAAAGGCACAACATTTCCCTCTGAACTATAATAGAGTAAGACAAAAGTGTAAAGATTTAAGTACAGTACTTAAAATATACTATACTATAAAATATATACAAACAGCATTATGTCAGAGACGTGATACTGATGATCATGTACCTGGTGGCTGGTGAGCATCTCCTCCATCATGCCTTCATGTTTAGGGGAGTAGTAGCTTTGGTGGGTGGGGGTGAAGGACCTGTCTGAACTGCAGCAGAGAAGAAGAAGAAGAAAGCAGTGAAGCCCCTGACGCTCAGTGGTCGTGACATCAACAGAGATCACAGCAGGGCAGGAAAGTAATGTGGCATCTATTGCACCTCTGTCTGTCTGAGGGATCCCTCACATGTGGCTCTATGTTTTCTTCGGTAGTTTTTCCTTTCTCTTGTTGAGGGGGATGTCACACCTTGTTAAGCCCCATGAGACAAACTGTGATTTGTGAATATGGCCTATACAAATAAAATTTGATGGATTGATTCATTAGCTTCACACTAGACTCTGAAACTCATTTACAGTTTCAGAAATAATGATACATGTCCATAGGGAAAAAAAAAAAAATAATCAGACAAACAAGTTACTTTCCGACCCTGGTTCTCATAACATGAATGGAAAAATAAAGTGAGTAAATGAGAGGATTCATTACAAATGAATTGCTTTAGGGTACTGTTCAAGACATTTGAATGCTAAAACAACAGCTAGGTTGTGCATTTGTGTTGTCTTAACACAAGCAGCCTAGGAAGCTAGGGGAGACATTTAAATATTAAGATTTACAAGCAAATATGATAAACAAGGAAGAAACAAGTAACTAGAAATCACTCTGAGGTCAGGACCCAGCCCCAGAAAGATGGTTAAACTGGTTATTACCATCGTGCTGAAGATTTTTAGAGGCCAGATATTTGGCCAGCGTCAGCACATACCTTTTTATTCGACTATGGAGGCATGACAGGGGACACCAACGATGAAGTATGAGCAGGAGAGGTTGCATAACACACACACCAACACACACATACAAATACAGTTAGTTGTTAAGTTTACAAGAAACGTTTTGTCAGTGCACTACAATACACACATGCATGATAGAGTTAGAACCAGCATCCACAGTAAAACGCTGTATCAGTAATTAGACAGGAACAGAGTCAAATTTTAATGGAGCGGAGGAAAATCAAACTTGATTATTACGCTTATTTGAATTAGTTAAAGGTGCCTGGTGTTATAACGTACCTGTCAGTGCGTCCTCCCTCCAGGCTGAAGCGGAGGTAGTTCATTCCATCCAGGTACTGCCCGGGGAGGGAGTCGTCTCCAAGCTCCCTGAGGTCCTCGGCCCTCAGATACTCCCCTCCATCGCCTGTCATCGTGTCGTCACCTTGGGAGAGCGGGCAAAGGGACAGAGGTGGACAAGCTCATAACGGGAACATACGGCTATTATCATACAGAAACCACTTCAGCTTAGAAAGAGTCGAGAGAAAATAGGATATTAACGATAACTAAAACACTGGAAGCTTGTCAGAACTGCAACTTATTAAAGTTCTTTCTTAAACTTACCATCTGAAAAACTAACCTTAACTCAATGTCAACTTACTTTACTTTAATTGCACGCACTGCAGCACATGGAGTCTTATAAGTTGAGCGAACGTTTGTTCAATTCAGTTTCTCCGTTTCCTCACGCTAATCATACTCCAATGGGGGATGAAGACTGTGAAATACAATTGAAAACCACTCCCCAAAAAGCAAGTAAACCTTGAGTTAAGATTATTTTGCAGTACTAACTCAGAACAGTATGAACTTTGTTTTTTAATGTCACTTTAACATCACTGCTGAGCCAACCTTTGTGGCTATGTATCATTTAACTTAACTTAACCTACTATGATTTACTGTCATCCTAAGTTTTCAATGTAGTCTGTGCATACTAACAGGAAACTGCATTCATTTCCTTGTTTCCCTTCTGTAGTCTCACAACAAACAGATGCATGTTAGGGAAACATGCTCTATGGCCTTGCATCATAGTGATACTGTGAAAGCTATAGTAGTGAAAGCTCTATTGCTGTTCCAATACTGTACAGCAGGGGTCAGCATCACTATTGACTGCTGGTTAACCTGGGTCAAAACACTCAAGTTTCATCACCATGTGTTCTACAGCAAATGAACACTTCCGCTATCAGACCCATGGGCATTACAAACTTTTTGGTATTTATGGTGTGTTGTAAAGTTTAAAATGATATACTTCTATATTCAAATTAAAGAAATCTACAATATATTTCAATGTGATTATCTTACCACCAGCAATTTATTTACTTTTCACCATTTTTACAATTTCAATCAAATCCAAAACACAATGAGGTGAATATTCAAGCATACTTTAAGTTCTTGATTCATTCATGTCTGAAAATCCCACGAATTTCTTATAATAATGTGTAACTACCTGAAGCAATGTAGTAAAAATGATAGGATAATGACTTGATGAAACTTGATTTCATTAATGTTGATGGTGGCGTGGCGACAAAGGCCTGAGAGGGTCGTGTGCGAGGTGAAAGCCATGTGATACTAATGCAGGGGTTGGCTTTGGCCGAGGTCTGGCAGGAAGCATCATGCTACGCCAGAAGAGCACGACAAACATACTGTAGTTAGACAGAGACGTTCTGATGCCAATAATATACAGGCTACCTGAGTAGGACTTGTGTAAGAAGGAGGTTAAGACAAAAAAAAAATGTATCAGGGTGTTTTTCAGCAGAACACAGCAAGCAGAAAATCTGACATTTCACCCTGACTGAGCTTCCCAGCTGTTCTCCCACCTTAAAGTAGGTCACTGTTGTATTTGAAATGCAAGAAAATCACAATCTGCCATTTGAATACTCCAATTACAAATTCCCCAGATTTGTTTCCATAAAAATCAGCGGGCTATGGCATTAAATAAATTTCAGAACCTATGCTGAGTCGAGACAGGGATTTTATTAGTATTTCCTCCCTGGTGTATTCTTGTGGGGTTAGAAATAAACTTTGAAGTGACACTGTGGGTAAAGTCTGTGCCAGTTGTTTGTGCCAGTTTTGTTCCGGCTAACCCGGTTTTCTCTCTTGATTTATTTTTAAAAGTGTAGATAGAAAGTGTAGTTTTGTAGACTAGAAGAGCAGAGGAGTTTTTTTTTTTTACGTCTCACTGGCTCGGGATGTCTCCACTTCTCATCTCGCTCCCGGTGGAAACAGCAAATACTAACATTCTCCTGAATGTTTGAAATATATACCAGCATACTATAACTTAAAGTCAAAATTCAGTGGCACCATCCAAATATCATGAAATATGAGCAGTTAGTATTGGTGCATTTAAGCAAATAGCAGTTACCACAGGCTCATTCTTCATGCACAACACACTAGACCCAGTCCTCAGTAAAATCACCACAGCAAGTCTGCACACAAAGCACCGTGCTGAATACCTCCAATATCCATGAGGTCGTCTGACATATCATCATCATCAATGGATTTCAAAGCTGAGGGTGGACAGCACAGTCACTCACCACCTCCTGAAATCTCAACCTTGCAGAGCTCTCTTTTTGCTCTGCTCTCGTCTCTACCTGCTGCAAACTCTCCATGTTCACTCAACGTGTATGTCTCCCACCGGGCAAGCGGTGTCAAGTGTTAGCGACGTGACTCACCCTCCTCATCCGAGACATCCAGCACTTCAGTCATGGTCTCTGGCACGTTCAGCTTGTGTTTCTCTGTCACCGTCTGGCAGAATGGCAGGAAACAGGTTCCATTAACCACAGTTCTTAGCATGTACAAACCAGTTTATTACAATATAAAGGTTTACAGTTTACAAGTATATACTGAGTAGTGTTCAGTGATTGATCCGTCCATTGATGGAGCATCGCTAAATGAGGACGGAGAGATACTCTACGTACCGTGGTGGTGGTGATGATCTCCTCTGTGACGACCCTCAGCGTGTCCACTACAGAGATGTAGCCCAGCCTCCGAGCAATACCCAGAGCAGTGTTACCATTCTTGACAAAACAAAACAAGAACAAATGAGATGTGTGCACCTATAGTAACTGAGTGTGTGTTTGTGTTTGTATGGATTGGAGTGCTTACGTACCACAGTTATAGCGTTGGGCTTGGCGCCGTGTTGCAGCAGAACGTTAATGATGTGTGTGTTGCCTTGCTGGGCAGCCTGGTGAAGGGGAGTGTATCCATTCTGGGAGGGAACAAAAAGAACAATGTCAAATTGGAGAAAAATAAAGACATTAAAAAGACATTACGTCCATTATTTATGCACGGCTGAAGTTATGTCCCTAACATCTGCTTGTGGCCGCTAACACCTGCTAACATCTACTGGTAGAAGAAATTATTTGCAAGGATATGCATTTCTCACTATAAGTAAATGAGATAATGCTATATTTTGTGTCATATTAGTTGAACAACCCTTTAATAGAATAGGTAAGTAATTACAACAATAAAAGCACAATGCATGTGCTAGTTGTAGGATCAGACCAATACACAGAGCCTGTTTATCTGCCCTTCTAGATTTTTTAAGATTTACATTTAATATAATTTTTGAAGACCCACATTGTTTGTGATACTTCTAGAAAGTCAGTATTAAGTTATGAATGGTAAACCGCCACATATGAAGCTGCTATGGCAACTGCAAGCATCCGACTCTGGCTTCAGTACCTTGGTCTTGGCGTTGACACCGGCTCCATTCTGTAGCAGGAAGTTGACCATCTTGACGTTACCATAGTGACATGCTACAATTAGTGGAGTGTATCCCAACTGCAAAACAACAGCAAATCTGATTAAAGTAACCGACCACCAAAAAATACAACACAGTTTTTGAATCCAGTGAGGACTTGAAATAATAAGGTCTTGTAACCAGAGGGTGCAAAGCAACGTGCAGAAAACGAATAACAGTATGATTGTTCATACTTTGGTCTGCTGGTCGAGGTTGGCGCCGTTTTTGGCGAGGATCTCTGCAACAGTCACTTTGTCTTCCTGGGCGGCCAGATGGAGGGCAGTCAGGCCGCTCTGCATGAGGAACACACACACAACAGTTTGTTCACAATCCAACATATTCTGTCCATCCTTTCTTGTCCAATAACATAATGCAGTATTTTTAAGAGAAAGGGTGAGGTTCAGAATTTGTTGAAGCTGTGAGTATATTAAATGTACAGTAAGATACTTTGTCATACTAGCAGTATAAATGATATTAATGCCGTCATTGACTCGTTATTGACATAATACTCAAAACCAACCCAGGTTACTACAATACCTTGGTGGGAACGTTGACCTGGGCCCCCTTGCTCATGAGCAAGGCAGCCATGTCGGCGTGGCCCTCCTGGGAGGCCAGATGGAGCGGGGTGACGCCCTGCTTGGTCAGGATGCTGGTCTCGGCTCCATACTGCAGCAGTACTGTAGCGATTTCCATCTGGTTCTTCTTGGCGGCGATGTGGAGAGGAGTGTAGCCGTTCTGGTTCAGGACAACAAAGAGAAACCGGTGTCACAGCTAAAAGTTTAACAGGACTGTTGTTTAGGATCTGTCACGACCAGCCTTGGTTTCACTCCAGGTTCTCCAATGACTTTATTAAAATAAACTGATCTTATAATCTCCAAATGTGGCTTTATTTTCACTGTGAGCAAATCCTGTGTGTAGACCTCCACCATAGTGTGAAAGCCATTGAAGCACATCAGTGAGCCGCACCGTTAGACTGGGTGAAAAGTTCCTTCATTCGGTTTTTTGATTTAGTTTCATCCATTTCCACTCGAGCACAAAAGATGGATTACAGTTGCAAAAAGTTCAACATTGTACAGTAAAAACTATAAAAATGAACACATTGCTTTTTATGGAGCTTTCAACTGCATGTCATGGTTTAACTCTGCAATCTCAGCTGTCATCACTTGAGCTAAATAAAGTTTTAGCAGAGTTTCTACTTGCAATTCAGTAAATTATTATTTTCATGTACTGGAAATACAATTCAGAGTTTACAAAAAAGGATCCAATATTTAAACTGTCCTATCAGATCAAGCCAAATAATAAAAATAACAACAGATTTGTATTTGAAGCCCTTGTTTATAAAAAGAAGAGCAGGAGGAGTCAGATTAAATTCTCAGTTGTCCAGATGGAATTGAATAATGGAAATAAAACAGAGGGGATTTTACACGAAGGAAAACACAAGTCACAATATCTCATCAGGATGTATTTCAATATTTCATATCCAAAGTATTTGTTAGTGTGGATATCAAACTTAACAAAATCTGTTTGTTTACATTATGAAAAGTCTCTTGATGATATACTGAACATCTCTTTGTACGATTTCTATGCAGATTCAGAGATGTCCTCTGTGGACACGCTGATCATGGACAGAGGGACTTCCACTGATTCCAGTCAAGTTTGTATTGATGTCTATGTGTTTCGGTTTGACTGCGCTGTGTGACTGAGTTGTAAATATGAAAAAAGGCTGCGGGAGTGTGAAGCTCACACTAGAAGGAAAATGTATTTTGACCCTCTGTATATATTGTCTACTGCTTGCAAGAGAAAAACTGTTTCAAACTGAGTAAAAGATGTGTAAGGATGGGACAGTTTGTACTTTTCACTCCAGGCACTAGCTCTCAGATCTCAGCACTGTTTACAATGGGCTCTCACCTTGGCCATTGTGAGGGGGGACGCTCCCTTGTCCAAAAGCAGGAGTGCAACCTTTTGGTTATCGTAATGTGCGGCCACATGGAGCGGGGTGAGGCCGTTCTGTGAGGGATGGACGGTGAGCACACATGAATCGAACAGAAATAAGAAGCCATTAATACTATACACACAAACAAAGAGTTTATAGTATGAGTTCAAGGGGGATAAGACTGCAGGTTGGGATGAATTAGAGTTATGTCAAACAAAGAAAGCTGGAAGGATCACTTGGTGGGTTCTTAATATGACGAGGCTTCTGTTAACTGTTTTTTCTGGGATAGTAATCGTAGTTAATCCAAAACAAAAGAAAGGCTCATTTAAGTCAAACTAGGCTTACCGGTACTCTTGTAGCCAACTTAACCTCAATACAGAAAAACAGTAACACACCACTTAAATGAAAAGGTTCTTTACATTTACAGTACTAACACATTTGGTAGCAGAATAAACAAAAGTAGCGCCATCCCTCTTATCATGCTGCACAGCGCATCTCATAGATTCCACAGTAAAAAACTATATAAATGAATAGGAATGGTTGTTCATTTAATAGAGATAAGCGCATACCTTTCCAGCAGAATCAGGTGGAGCGTGACGCTGGAGCAGAAGTTTGGTCACGTCCAGGCTTCCGTACTTGGAGGCCACATGCAGGGGGGTGAAACCTTTCTGTGGAGGGAAACGACCAGAGACGGGAGATTAAGACAGTGAATGGATGATATCTACATCAAATATTTAGTCAGTTCAGCTTCAGGAGATACTTTAGATGTTTATTAACAAGGCAGCCAAAAACTATTTTCTGTGTACGGATATAGAAGAGGGAATGAGGATGAAGTCACGTTTGTTTTTGTGTTGAAGCAGGTTTTGAAAAGACTTGGCCAGTTATCACATTCTGGCCTCATACACTGTATTTGTGAATCAGTAACGCTGATGAAGCTGCAATTATCACCTTCCAAAAGTCCTAATTCAACAGAAGAATCCCTTTAATATGTAACTTTCCCTTGAGGCTCAAACGAACCAAAAGTCATCAGACAGGAATCTCAGGGGTCTCTGGGGTGCGTCTGTTTTGTCAGCGGCAAAAGAACAATTCAGAGCACCGAACATTCTGACAAGCTGATGCAATCCCAGGTAACAAACCGAAAAATACGACATGTGGTTATTTAATTCTTCATTTCACAATAACGCCAGCAGAGGGGGCACTTTGCCTGTCTTAGATCACTGAACCAGTATAAATCAGACAGAAACCACATGACCAGTTTATGGCCCAGCCCTGCCCATGGAGGCAGCAGTCCTTTGTTTGCCATGCTGGATTATATCTGATGTAATGGGTGTTTGGACAAAACAGGAAAAAAGATGGAGGGGTTGAGTGGAGTGGAGGGGAGGAAGGGGGGTTCTGATGGATAGATTAAAAAAAAAAAACAGCTAATGAACGTGTTTGTGTGGAGAGAGAGTGCTACTCTTGCGTGACAACAACTTTCCCTGATTTGGTTTCTGTAGCAACAGCCACACCCTTCGTCCCTGGAGAGCAACCGAAGAGAGAGAGACATCAAGCGGAGGAGAGAACAGAAGCATTGGACCCTGACGTACACTGCATCACGCAGGGCTTCGTCTCCCCATTCACACTGTGTGAATAAATTAAAGGACGGATGCTAAGGGCTGTGCTGGTAAACACCTCCACAGTGGTGACGATAAATCAGCTGATTGCGCTCGTGCACAACTCAAGAGGAGGGCAGCAGCTTCAGCAGCTCATCAGTCATTTCTGAAAACTGGGTCAAACAGACAGAGACCTGCAGTTACAGTCAAACTGTTACCTCTTTAGCTCTGGCTTCAAGAGTGGTCTCCATAGCTCAATGACAAACACCCAAAATACACTGGTTTTCATCATTTTCAGTTTACTCACCCACTAATGTATAGTGGAGATTGAAATAAGTGTACCACAAAATTGTATTTTGGGACAAGTGCACTCTATTCTTGCTTAGGTTTGAAGAGGACTTATTTATCTGAACATTCTCTTTAATTTTGATGATTCTTTCCTTTGGCTTTTAAAAAAAAAACACACAGAGGAGAACATCAGCTCAAATTCTCAGAACCAACTGCCTCTTACAGTAACACTGTAGTTCAGTGATTGTTATCTTATGTCCTTAAAGGTGGCTTCAGGCTGTTTCACACCTGAAAGTCCGGAACATGTTCCGAACTAAGGTCGATGTGTTCTTGTCTTGTTTACATTTGATCCTGCGAGTTGTAGTTTAGGGAGCGCATTAAAAAAATGCCATCACCAATGTGGGCTGAGTTTACCAATACTTAAAATGTATTTGTTTGTGGGTGGGCATCAGACATTGCCGTGTTTTCAGTTCGGCAAATTTTTTTTGAATAAAGCGTGTAGGAAAAAGTTGGTCTTTCCTTTTGAATAGAGAAAATTAACTTAGTTAATTTGACATTGTAATCATTACAGTATTAGTACCAGCAAAGCAATCCTGTGAGCCGCTTCCTATTATTGTTCTTCTTCTATTGATTGATGATGTCTCAGCTTCCAGTGATTGGTCCAAATGTACAAACTAGTAGTTTTCACACTGCAACAAACCATGTTTCGTTTGATTGGGACCCAGACAGACTCTTTTTGTTTGATGAAATATTGGTCTGCACAGATCCGTGCCCCTTTCATACCTGTTATTTTGGTTCAGACTAAAAGTCAGAAGGTCCGGAGCAAACCAGGTGTGAAAGCCCCCTTGGATGCTTTATTGTATTAAATGTAATTGTATGACTATCCTCGAACTGTAGGTAGAATATTCTGGCCACAAAACCCTGTCCTTGTTTGAAGGTGCCACTTGTGTTGAATAGCAGGAGGTGGGGCTGATTTCTTGCCAAGAGCTTAAGACATCATTGCATTTACAAAACAGGGGGTTAAAATACGTCCTCGGAGCAGAGCTGATTCCTCAGGGCAGCACGGATGCTATAACGATGCACTACTATAAAGTGACTGGCTGGTTAGCCTGCTAACTGATAGAGGCAGAACGTTGAGATAAAATACATGGCTCCTCCACCCACCTTAGTGGCCAGTGAATGAGAAGCCCCAGCCTCTAGCAGCACAGAGGCCGTCTCCACCTGCCCCTCCCTGGCGGAGATGTGGAGGGGGGTGTAGCCGTTGGTTGTGGCAGCATCAGGATGGGCCATGTGCTGGAGCAGCAGCTGGACTATTTCAGTTTTTCCCAGACGGGATGCAATATGGAGGGGAGTCTGGTCCTCCTACACAAGATAAAGTGAAGAGACAATGAAGCTTTATATTAAAATAAAAGTATCCTGCATTGTAGAAAACCTAAGGTAAATCAAGGATTCCTAGTGTGTGCATCAGTATATTGTCTTACCCGAGCTCTGGCGTCCACCATCGCTCCGTTCCTCAGCAAACATCGAACCACCTCCACCTGACCTGCCCTGGCTGCCATGTGCAACGCTGTTTCTCCACGCTGTACACACAATCGACATCATCACTGTATCGGCCAGAAGCAGTTCTACGCATCTTGCGTATGAAACCTGAAATCCTGTCACTTCTGTGCACTCGGAGTCAGTTGTGTCTCATTACTCACAATGTTGCTGACGTCCGGTGAAGCTCCGTTCTGCAGCAGCAGCAGAACGATGTTCAGGTGACCCATGAAGGCCGCGACGTGGATGGGAGTCAAACCGGACTGCACACAGGAGGGACGGGAGAAGAGAGAGCACAGGAAAAGAAATGACAGTTATTTCCAACTCTCATGATGACATTAAATGTATTCATAATATGCAAAACAGTACATGATGATCTCAGGTAATTTCTCATTAAAATCATATGCATTGATATACATCTCTATTAATATTAGTATAATCAACACTCCTACGTCAAAACAACTTTTACTAAACCTACTTAGACAAAAGCACAAACGTCTGCAGGGTTTTACCTCAGGTTTTTACACTGTAAACATACTGTGACCGGTGCATGAACAGGCCAAACATCTACTAAACCAGATGTGTAAAACCATCTGTGATTTTAAAAGTGACACAATGTACAAATCATATTTTAAACCTTCTTTCTAACAAGTAATTCATATGAATTTACCAAGATCTGGCCAATGTTGTTTAAACACACAACACAAGTAATAATTGTTAGTTTACTACAAAGTATGAGAATCAGAGATGACCCCCCTATAGTTAGGTGACTTCTGATCTTCACCTAGATTACTCTGTCGTAACGCAAATCCAAAAGATGACTTAACATTTCTGCTGATTTAGTTTCATTCATGTGTGTGAAGTACCTCTGTGATGGCCTGGATAGAGGCTCCATACTTGACCAGCAGCTCCATCACCTTTACCCGGTTTTTCTTACAGGCTATGTGCAGCGGAGTGAAGCCATTCTGTGCAGGGAACATGGCACACACATACACACATAAATGCAATGACAATTAACTCTAAATTAAGAATTAAAATTTCTTTTGTGTTGTATTTCGCCCAATTCCCACGAGGAAGTGATTGCATGGGAATCTCTTTATCGTACCAGAGCCCTGGCGTTGGGGTTGGCCCTCTTGTCCAGCAGCAGTTTGGTGACTCTGTAATGACCACAGTGTGCCGCCACATGGAGCGCCGTCAGGTAGTCCAATGTGACATCATCAACAGGCGCCTTGTGCTGCAGAAGATGTTTGACGCATTCGACGTGATCGCCTTGCGCTGCCATGTGGAGAGGAGACAGTCCGTTCTAAAAGTGACAGAGAGGCCATTTAGTGTGACGGAGATAACGGGTAGGAAGATTGTCTTGTGGGCTGTGGGTGTGTACAACACCACGATAGAACCCTCCCAGGGTTTAATGTTTAACTGGGTCTATTAAAACTGCACAATCCATGCTTTAATATGATCATCAAACACCTAGTTAGCAACTAGCTGGTGAAGAACACTGCTGGTGGAGACCAAAACAGAGCTAAAATGAAAGATCAGTGTTATGAGACTTCAAATGAATACTGATGTGGATCTGTATCTGATGAATGTGCCAACGGGCAACTCTTTGTCAACCCATTAAATAATATGTTAACATGTGTCAAATGTTGGAAATACATTAATGCAGCCTCGCAGTCTTCTACTAGTCTTCTGTTAACATGGAGCATGTTACACTTTCTTCCCCAGAATTAGATGAGAACATTGACGTAACCCAGAGATACACTGGGTATCGAGTACACAGTAGATTAGCACTTAAACAGGACGAGGGGTAACTAAGGGGAGCTATACTGTATTTGCTGACTCAAACAATATATCCAATGGTAACCTGATATTAGTTCAAGGTAGAGTTACAAAGTAAACTGATTTTAAAAATGCATGATTTCATATTTACCTAAATTTCTACTGTCTACAGCGGCACCTTGTATGTCTCATATAATGTTGATATGATAATATCAAATTACCAACAAATGTATTTCCCAAAAGTAGAACGGAATCCTTTAACAGGTGATAGGACTTGTAACACACCTTTGTCCTGGCCAATAAGGGAGCTCCTCTCTCCAGCAGCACCTCCACAGCTGTATCATGTCCACTCCGAGCCGCACAGTGGAGGGGAGTGAGACCATCCTGCAGAACACATACACACACGAGTCCGTAAATAGCACTCTTCTACATTTTAACCAACTAATCACATCCATCCATCCACACACATTAATAATATTTCTATCACTCAACATATATTAGCAACAATCAGTTCAGTTTCTTGTCGAACAACCGACCTTCAGATCCCGGCATGACCATCTCCACCTCCTGAGCCACAGCCGCCCCACGAGGGCAGCCGTGTTAGATAAACTGAGCTCAGTGGCTTAACTTCAACCTCCAGCGCTCAACAGGTGCTGTAACATATGCATATATTCACATGCAGATGCAGCCAGAGACTAATCCAGGCCGGACCTTGTTTACATGGATCCGAATCAAATATGGCTAATAACATGTCCTTTTAGCTGCGGTGCACTAACATTACACCGGGCAGATGTCAGGAAATCCAGTGCGTTACAACTGAATTTAATCCACTGAGCCACTGAAGTCAGGCTGAACTGCAAAAAGCAGTTAGCTCATCTGTTGAAGGTGATAGCAATGAGCTGGCCATCGTGTTCCTCCAGGAATAAGTGTGGAGAATTGGGCCCTGACCAGGTGAGGTGGAGGGAGGATAATGTGTTTAAATATGATTTCATTTCAAATGTTCAGTCCAGAGTTCAGACCCCAGATACATCGGCTTTATCTTAACTCTGTTCTTCTCTGTACTTACCCTTGTTTTAGCATCAATCTGAGACCCACGGTCCAATAACAGACGAACCATGTTAGTGTTGCCACGCTTGGAGGCCACATGCAGTGGAGTAATCCCATTCTGCAGACAGGACAGAAATACATGCATGACACATTATTCATTTAAATGTTACAGACAATTTAATTAAATTTAATCAATTTAATAATATACAAAATCCATAAAAATGAAATGTCATGATTAGAAACATCCTGACTTGATTTAGGGTTATGTTATGGTTACGTCTGTGTGTGTGTGTGTCCTACCCTCGCAGTGAAGTCCACTGCTGCCCCTCGGTTCAGCAGGAGCGTGGCCACATTGACGTTCCCATAGTGGGCGGCGATATGCAGGGGGGTGAATCCACTCTGAAAGACAGACAGGGAAGAGACAGACACACAAAGAAGAAAAAAGGTCAGCGATTTACTTCATGTCCTTGAATTCTGACCTTTGCCTCTTGACCGAGTCTTCCCAGCATGCAGCAGTCGCACCAAGCATCACAGGTGAACAAAAGAAACAGAAAACAAGAAAACTGTAAAAGAAACAGGGATAAAGTAAAGTAAAAGTCTGAAATTATATATTCAAGTCATTGTTTACAAAACCCAAACACACAACCCCAAAAACACACTCACTCAGACACGTCCATTCCATGCAGGTGTTCCCCCAACAAAAAAAAAACGAAAGGTAACTTCTCTTTGGCTTCAAAAACCAATTTGAAATTAAAAAGACAAAAACAGAAGCAGAACAAAGACACACAGTCCACAGAGACCATCACTGAGATTGACATGGAGATGGACGAACAATATAATCTACCCAAAATCAAATTATAGTGAAATCATATTGAGTGGGGAACATTTCCCACCACCAAAGTGCACTATGTTAACCGTATACGTGTTAGAGTAAGCGATGAGAAGTACATGAAAGAAGTTAGAGATTAGAGCAGGTTGGAGTAGATGTGAAATTCTTGCCTTACCTTGCCATTCTGTAAGTGTGGTCCGATTTAATGTGAAAAAGTTGTTTACAAAAGTGTGAAGAATACAGTGGCTAACGTGATGGTTTAAAACTTTACACAGTCCAAAGCTTAGAATGGTGCAAATTAAAGTAGTGTGGATGCAACATGCTGTTCAATGCCAGGTCTTTGGCCAAGCAGGTAATATTTCAAAAGCAATATGAGCTTCCCATGCCTTAACTGATTAGCATTGATGGTAGTATTAAAAAGTGACATGTCAGTAAGTTAAAGACCCCTCATAGCAACGCATGCATCTGAAATACTCGAATGAGAAGCTGGTTAGTGTGGAAAGCCAGGGATGCAAAATTAAACTAAAACCATTTGATTAATTCAAATCTCCCATTACTGATTTGAAAAGAAAAGAAAAGGTCAATTTTACATTGAATTTAATATCATTCTGCTTTTGCGAACGATGAAAATTGTGTGACAACAAACTTTTCATTTCAGAAGTAATAATGCATTTTCACACAGATATAAATTAAACTCAAACATTTCATTTTAAACTTTCAATGGGATTAAATGTTTTCAGTTTCCTCTTGGCATTACTGGGCTTCCACCAATGACCAACAGCATTTTGTAATATCAACGCTCATTTAAACAATGTTTAGTTCATAGTGCATCTCGAGAAATCATGCAGCACAACATGAACAGACAGAAGTACAAGACACACTGATAGACGATACACATTCACAGCTGTCCCAGAAATGCATCGGCACAGTATTCATCAAATCAACACATTACAGGAAAAAAATATATCATTGAAAATAAATCTTAATAATTATGTAGATATTTCTAAATGTAATGAGGCTGAAACATGACAAAAGGGGGGCTCTTTGAGCTTTTCATGTAAACCGAAAAAAAGGAATGAAATATGCAGACAAATATATATGCAGACAAATAGTATGAATAGTAAAATACAAAGCCAGAAACTAAAGCAGACTGTGTGCAGTGCTTTAGTGCAGGCAATAGCTTGGCCATTCCTATCAGCCGTGCATGGTGGCCTCTTATTCTACCAAACACAAACTGTGGGAAATGCAAAACCACGCCAAATTTATTGACACCATGCAGTGCTGCGGAAGTGACAGAAATAAACGGTGGAGGAAAAAGAAAAGTGGAATAACAAAGAGATGGTGCTGTACAGTGAATCTGTGGAGAATTAAAGGAGCAGGTGTATACCTCAGTAGTCCTATTGACCATCATCTGTAGCAGGAGGAATGAGGAAGGGAAACATCAGTTCAGTTAGGCTCGGATGACACTGAATTGTAGTCGGATGCACGGCGGTGACGTGGCTGGGGTGGGTCACGATCTCAAGTTCACACGGTTCAGTCTAAGGATCAGGTATTAGGTCTACAGCTAATAGTTGTTGTTTTTTTTACCATGAATTTATCTTTTATTTGATTTTTACAATTAATTATCTGGTCAAAAATGTTAAGGATTGGTGAAAACATATTAATTACAGCGTCCAGGAATCAAAAGAGACAGGACATGTTTCTTAGACTTTTCCAACCATCAATAATAAATACATTTTATTACAATCAACTGGTCACTTAATTAATGTCAAGCAGTGTCAAGGAATTAAGGGCATACTTGATCCAGTACGACTAGTAGCCTATGCAGGCTAATGTTAACTTTAATGTTAATGGAATCACATTTTTGTGTGATATGGCTGCGTAGCCGACATTTCCGAGAGACTTCGCTGACTAGTTTGTTTAGCATGCTGGTGATAAACGCTTCAGTTGCCATTATCCTCTAATCCTCAGTCTTTAAGCAAAATTAAGGAAGTTTTGATTTGAAAGGCAATTTCTGGTTTTAACTTGGGACTCATTTTGTTGCTTTTGTCATTGAATAGTTCACCACATTTTCTCTCCCAAATATAGATTAGAGGGTTTGTTCACAGCTTCTGCATGTGCACGAGATTGCTAATTTGTTAGATGTGATGTTGTCTAACACAAACAAGAAAAATAGGACCCTGGTTGTAATATGTTATTGCAATTAAGTCGACTGAATAAGAACGGTGCCGTCGCGTGTGACTCACAAACAGGAGGGCTGCATCACAGCAGCTGAACACATATGGCATAATTCTACATGCATGCATTTACCTTGTGTTTTGTTACACAGTGACATAATTGCAGCTACTGTAGACTCACTCCTTAACATTCAGGACTGTGTAGTGCAGGAAATAGAGTTTAATTGTATCACCTTCACTCCAGTCACGTCACTTAAAGCCACTATCCGGTATCAGAGAAACAGTCACAACTGAAATATTTTGCTCCAATATTGTCCGTCGACTGTGAAATCTAACCAATACCGGATTGTTACCTCAAACCCTTCCCCTCCCAACAACCATCAATATTAGAAACACCCCCCCCCACCCCACTGGTTGACATGCAGCCTTAGATATCACCACCATACAACCTGCAGACAGTGGCACACTCCATGCAGAAGACAGTGCTACACTTAGACACCGGTGCAGCAATGTAGGAAGGGGTGATGGGGGAGAAGTGTGTGAGTGGTAGTTGCATTTCGAGAGAGAAAGGAAAAGAGAGGGAGAAACCCAGTTAGTGGCAGGACCAGGAGTGACGGGGAAGGCACAAGACACACTGAATGAGAGAGAGAAATACAGGAAGAAAACACAGAGATGCACAGACTATGGGTATACAAACGCAACTTCATGGGAAAAGGTCACCACGACAAGTTTTCTGTCCAACACTACATCATAGACATATCTTTTCTGCAACCGTGTTTACACCTGCTGTAATTGGTTTGCTTGGTATCTGGATATTTTATCTGGATAAAATAACAACTTTCTATCATAATATCCATTATAGAGCGTTTTCACCGATTTTTCTTTTTCTCAAACAAACAAACAAAAACAGAACGTTGTTGCCGTGATATAAGCTTGTGTGCTCTGTCAGATAACTTCCTGTACAGGTAAAAGCCACTGATTCCATCAGTGATTATCACAGATCATCAATTAGCTCACTTAGGTCAGGTTGAATATTCAGATTCTGCCTTTAAGATTTATTCAAACATGTACTCAATACCTTTTGACTGTTGGTTGGATTCAATGTGTGAGCAGTGGACTTCAGAGTCAAAGTCACAAGCTTTGTAACCCAATTATCACCTGACCTCCACCACTAAGACGTTGTGTAACAACATCCCACTACTGTTTTCTCTGACCCTGTCATTATTTGCTACTACGCCACAAGAAGCTGCTTTTCAGAAAACCCAAAACCTTCTAAATCTTGATCCTTTGACTTGCAGTACTACACTGCTTCCACCTTCAACTCCTTGTGCGTATAAATATGACTTGCAGTACATTTAAAATGTTGAAAAAGCAACATTGTGCAAAGCTGTGCTTATGACATGAAATAATGATGGCATACAGCACACAGAGTGTAAAATCCCTTTGAATGCTGTCTCATTCTGCGAGCTGGTATTTCTGTTCAGATGTTAAGTATCAAATGGGTGACAATACTGGGAGTACGGGAAAATGTTTTTTCTCTATGTGTACAAATATTTACATCAATGGCGTTAGAAACATCGTACCAGAAATAGTGACCTCAACAATTCAGATAGAAAGATACAGAGAGATGTCCCCAGTGTGGTCAGGATTATCTTTCTGCTATGGGTAGAACTGTTTTTCTAAAGAACAGAAACATCAAGACACCGGACAGGAAGGATCGTCATAGTTTTGGGCTGACAGGTCATCATGTTCAGTACAAACTCATATAAACGTCACTGGCAGTGATGTGATTATTACAGCACAGCCCACACAAGAACTCCAAACTAAAGTCCTGTCACATCACCTTCCATGTATTTGTTCGAGGTAATTGTTGCCTCCATCTCACCTACTTTGCATGATGAAATAAAATGAGACCGTGTTATTGTCAAGAGAGGATTGAATGGGGGAAAAAAACAACAGATTGTAGATCAAGAGGATAATGTATCCAGATACAAATCAGATTTTAGCAGCAGATGTAAACAAGGTGTTTCCAAAGTCTCATATAGGACCATTGGGTGAACCCCAGTGCTATCAACCCAAAGCCATTAAAACCAAGGAAGCTTGACTGGTTTTCTAGACGTCTTCATTCTGTAGCTCAAATCTCAGAAGAGGGGGAAACTCCTTTGAAACCTCAGTATGGACACAGCGCACAAACATGTAGCGTCACAGTAGCTCGACTCCCACACATACCAGATCTTTAAAGCCAAGCAGTGAGACAGACATACCTTGGACTGGACATCGGCGTTGTGGTCGTTCTGGAGGAGCAGGGCGGCCGACTTGGTGTCGTCCTTGCGTGCAGCAATATGCAATGCAGGCAGGCGGACCTTGCCTTTAGTATCGTTCTCCAGTAAGACGGAAACCACCTGGTTGTGGCCCTGCTGGAGAGCGATGGCCAGAGGGGTGAAGCCATCCTGGATGAGCGAGGACAGGGAAGAAAAAGGTTAAGATGGTTGGCAACATCTCATTCATTTGGGAATCTTGAGTAAAACCTCAAAACATTTTATGAGAGGTTATAGCATAAATTATCTAATGAGCAAATACTTTTACCTGAAACAGTTGATATGGTAAATCAACTATGCACATTCATTCATTCAGAGGATGAATCCTAATTTCTTTGGCGATCCCCTGAATTTTCCTCAAGTCATAATATTCATATGTAAGATACTATGATTCACAATCATATTATAATCACACGACAGCAAAGTAATGACATTCCCATCAGCCTATCTATGTCGTGCCGTGCTAAGTAATTTGGCAGTGATACTATATACTGTATACTATAAACACAGTACACTCACCTCGGTAGCAGTGCTCTGGTTGCCTCCATTTTCCAGAAGGTATCGCACCACATCTAGGTGATTCTCTTGAGCGGCCATGTACAAGGGAGTGAATCCATTCTACGGCACGGAGACACGAACGTCAGGTTAACAAATATACTACTGGTCATTCATCATCAACAAAATCCAGGCCCAAATAAAAACCATGGCTCCTGACATGATACCAATGCTGAGTCAATGACTTAAAGAGAATGAGAAACTCCAGCAGCAGACTGCAGAGGCTCACCTGAGACTGTGAGTTGATGTCCGCTCCTCGTTTGATCAGGATCTTCACGACTTCAGCCTGACCAGCTAGAGAGGCTATGTGAAGCGCTGTGTTTCCTTTCTGGATATTCAGAAAACACAAAGGAACAGTTACTACAGGCACTACATGTCATGTCCATATTTTTCAGTATAACCTTATTAAAAGAGAAATATTACTGGAATTATCACCATATTAATGGGAAAATGAAAGAGCTCAACTTATATCTCTGGCTCCAGCTCTGTGCTGATACCTTAATGTATTTACATGGGTATTCTGCATATAGTTATGGGTAGTGAGTATTCATGTATCAACTAATAAACTAAATTAGATGAAAAAATAACTATATATGTAATGTATTATTTTTAACTTTATTCACTGAGTGTTTCCTGAAAATATTCAAAGCCCTCCTGAAAAGCTCCACTTTGAAAACATTGGTTCTATTACAAGTTGAAGTCCTTTATTTTGAAATCCTAAAATTATACAAGTGTTACATACTCGAAAAAAGCCCTTTAGTGCAGTATTTGAATAAATGTATATGGTTACTTTCACCCACAGGATTGATAGGGTACAGCAAAACTGGGAAGGTAATAACATGAAGAAAACGTTCAACTATTTACTGCACGCAAATCCTATTCTGAAACCTATCCTCAAAATAAGTGAGTCAGTTTTATCTACTGTAAGTACAACTAATGTATGAACTACTGATTCATGCTCAGAACTGAATACCACTGCACTCAGTGTGGTACATGTTGCATTTTGGAGCAACACCAACATTCACAGCACTGGAACCCTGTTCAGTAATGATTCGACCTTCTCTAATTGCAGGTGTCGCAATGATGGTCGCATTTTTGAAGAATCAATCTTCTATGTTTACAACTCCACTCTACATATCACTTTCCTTCAGTGCTCCACTTTCCTCACAATGATTATATCAAATACAGTGCACCCACATTGAGTGGTCTTGGAGCTGCAGAGACTAAAGCTGTGTTCAGAAAGTCCAAATAATAATAATTTCCTTTCCTACCCACTATTCCTTGACCCCAATGAATTACATTCAAAGAAGCCGCAAGGAGCTAGGAAGGAGAACCACGTTGCAGAGAACATTTAAACATTATTTGTATATGCACAAAATGTACGGTACTCTGTGTTGTAGGATGTGCGCTGACAGTTATAATATAGTTTACTGTCCAAAACAGAAAAGATATTTTCAATTAACACAAAAGAAACGTTTACTCACAGAAATAACCCCAACATAGATTTAACGGAAAATGAAAATAAGATAATAATGTGAGGATGAACAGCTGTTTTTTTTATATTTACGTGGGTGTGTCCAGGTGCAAATATGATTATTTGTTGCTGCCACAAAGAATTGTGTTATGATGTTTGCTTAAGGAGATAAGTTAGGAACCACTGAAGCTCCTTTCCTTATTATTTAGAGAATTCGAATAGTTCTTTTTATAGCGGCTGCTGAAATACTTTTGGGTCATTTTACTCTTTAAGGAAGAATATTAATCCAAATGGACTATTCGAATAAACCCTTAGTGTCAGTGTTAGGTGTCAGTGGATGGTGTTCGACTGTCACAGAAAAGTTCAACTGTGATGAAGCTGTAGCTTAGATAGACTGTCTCAGCTGTTAGGGCTGTGGAAAAGAAATCCCTCACGTGTGGCTCGCTCTGAGCGTTCTACATTTATTCCCTCCTGTTTTAAGGGTTTTTCAGCAGTTTCTCCTTACTCTTGTTGAGGGTTAGGAAGAGAGGATGTCGCACCTTGTTAAGCACTATGAGACAAATTGTGAATATGGGCTATACAAATAAAATTCGATTGATTGACAGGGAGAGTTGGGTATTTTAGGTTGTTTTTAATCACACTGATGTATGTTTAAGTGTAATATGTTTCTGATAAGTTTATTTTAGTAATGTTTTGTTATTTGACGGTACAAAAAAGAGCCGCCACTGGCTCCAAATGACGTGACCAATGCAAGATGCTCCTGTGTACGGGATATTTCAGTATATTTCTGTACAGTGACACAGGATTAAGATGCATCTTCCATTTTCACACGCAATCATTGGCTGTGTCCATTTACTTATCTCAATAAAACAGATACACATTAGTTTCTCTAGTTAGCCGACACTGGGATTATGAACACTGTGTCATCTGACATGACTTTTAGTGACCTAGACTTGTCAGTGTTGTTATCCTTTATTCAATAATGTATAGATCAATCACAAGTTCAGCCTTTTTCTTGATTAATCATCTAAATACAATTTCTTTTCATCAGCTATGCTTCCAGTTAGTAGAGTAAACCATATGACAGTGACAACCCTTCAGCATATAGCTAACACCCACAACAAAAAAGGTTGATTGACACTAGAAATAGCTGTATATGAAGCGATTTCTCTACTGGAGCTAACGTTTCCTCAGTGGGAAGCTGAGATACTGTGTCTTACCTTTGTGGCTGAATCGACCGCTGCACCTCTGTCCAGCAGTTCCTGGACCAGATCCACATGGCCCTCCTTGGCTGCCAGATGCAGTGCGTTAAGACCATTCTGGAAAAAGAAGAGCAACAAAAGGTTATTCCTGAAAAGAAAGGTCCTGAACGTCACAGTACAAAGACAGATGCAAGTCGAGAGAGAAGGGTTTACCTCTTCCTCTAGGTCCATAACTATCTGAGCCTGCCTTTTTCAATGTATTTCAATCTTTTTCCATCTTTTCATCGTGTGAGCAGCTGCTTCTCTCTTACTGAAGGGACGGACTGAAAATATCAAAGCTGGCTATCAAAGTTAGATTAGAGGTTGTGCCATGTTATGTTGTTATGGAGCAGAGCCAGTCCTGGGTATGAAGTTATAAATAGTAGTGTGTGTGTGTGAGCTTGTGTGTGCGCTTGTGTGTGTATGTGTGTGTGTGTGTGTGTGTGTGTTGTCAGGTCAAACAAACATCCACCTGTTTTCCACTCCAAGGTGCTGTGCTCTGAGCTCAAACATTACTGTCTTCATGCCGATTGTTTATTTAGGGCTGAACCAATAAATAAACATGGAAGATATAATCTAATATACTGCAAGAAACAGACAAATATAATACAAAATATTGTATTAATGTTTTGGATTCATTAACACAAATACAGATGCTTTCAACAAATGATAACTACTTGACATGATAAGGTTGAATAATGGGACAGAGATGTTTGAAGACTCAGGCTGTAAATCACAACTGACCTCTATTAATATCTGTATTAGGCTCTTGAGTGTCATGTACTGATTGGTTGGCAGAGAGTAGGAGGGTGGGGGTTGCTCTGCTGAGAGACAAGTAGCTAGAAAACTGAGCGAATGCAACACAACTGTAAATGGTCTGTATTTTTATTTGAGCTTTTCTAGTCTTGATGACCCCTCAAAGTGCTTTATAGTACAGTTTAGTGCCATTCATCCATTCACACACATTCTATGATGGGGCAATCCCGGGTTCAGTATCTTGCCCAAGGACACTTCGGCAAGCCGATGTGGAAGACTGGGATCGAACTGCCGACCTTCTGGTAAGAGGACGACTACAGATTTTTGTAGAATCAAATGAGTGAAAAACAGTTTACGTATCCACGAAGATTAGGCAACACAAGCAAGTCCAGTTGCCAATTTATGGGAGGGGTTTAATTAAGTTCACTTTGACAAATGATGTAAACAATAGCAATATTGTTAATACATAGTTTTGTTATTCTTTGCCACTTGAAGGCATAGAATAAGCTGAAAATACAACATTTACAATGTCATCTTAGTCACCTGTTCATTTTCAGCCCCCTGTCGTTATGAGGAGTTGACTGGAGCTGCCAAAGTGCTAATGGTTCCCCTCGTTCCCCCCGTCCTCTTCCGAGGGACCCAATAACCTTTCAGGAGTCCAAGCATTAGGCTGCAGTTTAAAAAGAGCTGCTGAGTCGATATGGCGTTTCCTCCATGACTGGCAGAATAACCCTCATCACACAGCCCACTGGGGCCGTGATCCCACAGGACCCACATGCTCCCTACAGAGGCCCCTTGTGGGATCCCAGAGACGCTGAATATCCTCTGACTGTGCTTGAGTTTTCACTGCCTTGAGGTATTCCACAGCTGGCAGGAGGCATCTGTTCAGCAGCAGAGCGGGATATATGTTCAAGCTATGGCCTGCTGTTTTTTGGATCAGTTGATATGTTCATGCAACTTCTTGCTTCAGCTGCCCTCATATTACACTTAGCTACTGGGCTGGTGCAACTACTGGACTTAAATATTAGTTGAAAGAACAGAACAGTGAGCACATTGTGCTGACTGAACATGCTGACAGTCTATTGTGTATGAAAAAGTTCTATCCTAGATGTATCATATTGCTTTATGAATCTATGAAATTTTCAAAAAAGTTATTTTTTAATATACTTGCAGCCAAGTATCTCCATGAATTACATTCAAATCAGCTAAAAGATAGCACTCGAGCTCTAGTTACAAAAAACAAAATCAGAAAAGCACAAACTTTACGATATATGAACCCAAGAGATAAATATAATATCTTTAAAACATGTAGAGATGGTCCAATGTGGGAAGACTTCACTGCAAACCCTATACCGTGGTATCTGTTAACACATTGTCTCAGAGAAACAGTGTTTGAAGTAGCATCTGTCACTCCCATAAAACACCAGACAACCATTTATCATCAAACTGAAGAGATGAACGAGTTGTCAGGGGAGAACTATTTGACTACACTATCGTAAATGTATTGCATATTGATGACTCACAATTTCAGACTAATGGGGAAACCAGCAGACGGGTAACACATCTCACATTGGTGGGCATTTGGTTTGAGATGAATGCAAACGCCAAAACATATGATACCTTATTATTTTCATACACGTCAAACCATTAAGTGACCAGCTTATGCTCTATGGATGGGGACATTGTCAAACTGTCTCTCCACTCATTTTCAGGTTTTCCCTTTCATTTGTCCTTCTTCTGTTTGTTTAACATAATCAGCAGACACTTCTGAACCCACAACCTCCCATAACCCTCAGGGCTTTATTTATCTTTGTACAACCCCTCTGCTGCGACCTTCCCCACCAGGAAGCTACTAGCCCCTTCATCATGCACCATGCCCCGTCCGCCCGCTCCTCCATCCATTATATCTGTTACCTCATTCTGTCAGCCCTGATATGAGCACCATCACTCAGGAGACGTTTCCCAATTATCTTTCACATCCATCCCACCAGTACTTTTAGTGAAACTGCAAATGTGAGCTGTGAAACTTAACTAAAGCAGAGGTGGAGTCGTGTCAGGGAGCGAGTAGGTTATAACGAGCAACCACCTGCTCATTGGCACAGTAATACAGTCATCACACATCCGGGAAAAGTTCAGAATCTCTTTCACACGATTTGATAAGGAAGTTTTAGTTGAAACAAAAAGATTAAAGTGAAACGTTATATTGTTAATATAGTGTACATGTCAAAGTGATTGATGACTTATAACCCACGGTCAGTGAATTGAATTTCGGCGTTGAAAAAAAATTACAGCAGTGAAACAGGAAAGTTCCCTGGGTATCAAAAAGCATTTACTAGTCAGACAAGTCCTTCATCACTGTAACGGAGTCATTAAGGTCCCTTGGAGGTCAACTTGCATGGCTGTAACTTTTGACTGATGTTATGTGTCTTTTTTGTCATATATGTTTCCCCCATATGTGTTGAAGTGAGACGTGAATCTGAAGGTGTACTCATGGTCGAACATCACTCTCTGTAACCACCAGTCTGACATTGCTCTGTTCAGAAGGGACGTTTTAGTATTAAAAAAACTAAATGTCTCAGCTGGATGGATGGCCTGCCGATTTTTTTAATGTGCCCACAACAACATTGGCGATCATCACTGATCAATGAAGTCCACTAGGAAATCCTGTACATGCCAGTGTTGCATTTTAAAAACGTGATTAATGCCAATTTTTTTACATATTTTCCACACAGATGAAATGCATATTCCCTTGATGATTGTATCACATTATAAACATTATTATATTAACATTACATGCAAGTTTTGTTCCTGGGGAATATTACATGCCTTATTACATGGTTGTGTCATTTCTGAGCTCGATTTGTAATTTCTTTATTTGACATTTTTCTTTCAATGAGGTCAGAATGTACATGAATGTGGAGTCAAACCATCTTCTACACTGATTTCCATTGTGTATGTTATTCACATTCTCATATTGCATAAGCTGACCTCATCAGCAATGTTTGAAAAATCCCGTAGACCATCTTGGGGGATATGTTTTGCCTCGAATATTAAGAGATAGACCGAGTCTGTGTAGTTTTGATTTCTTTCCAGCAAAAAAGGACAGGACGTGGTTTGAGCTTGGGTCGCTTTAAAAATACAGACCATTTAGCATTTACTTAAAGAAGGTTTTGGGTGATTGTTACTGCGTTTTCACTTTCACCAAGTAACACCACAAATTAATGTTCCAGGCTTTCAAAACTTTGATTTAAATGTACTTGTCAGTGAGACAGAGGCATAGCTTGAGAGAAATAGAAAAACACTGGTGCCCAAAATATCTTCAAGGGCACAAGCAATCAGGGCACGTCAAGTGATAACCAAATCGTCTCCACGCAACGCAGAGCCACGAGCAAATGTTAGATTTCCACCCCATGTGACTTTTGTTTACTGGGATACTCACTGTGACTGTTGCCAGCACAGGACTGCTTACATCCTATCAGCTTTCAATGGCTGGAATGCTAATGGGCTTAGAGGACACAAGATAATGACTGGAACTAAATGAAGAAACTCCCACTGATCAAATTCTTTCCTCCAGGAGTAGAGACATTTTCTTAATAAAACAATTATAAGAATATGTGTTTCCGTTTAGAGTAGAAAGGGGCAACATACGAGCATTAGCAATAACACATAAAATGTGAGGTGTTCAAGTATATAGTGAAATTATCTGTTTTCTAATAGAGCATTATGATCCACATTTGACTCTGATAAACCTGTGGCACTTTACAGAACAATTTTATATTCACTCATTCACACACACACATTCATACAGGCATCTATGTGCAGAACCTTTCTCTATGAGAGGCAGGAGTTTGAGGGTTTGGCCAAAAAGTCAGTATGTGCACCTTTGAGGAAGTTACAACAACCAACGATGTGCTAGAAATGTAATTGAAGAAGTTAACGAGTGCACATTTAGCTCTGTGCACTCACCACCTTTGCAAAAACTGAAAAAATCATTACCTTTGGACTTTGACTTGGATTCTGATTGTATTCAAATGAGGGAGGAGAACAAATATTGTAGGATTTCTATTGAAGAAGAGTTTTATTGAATAGTGTGCTGATGTAATGATGCCTTACAGCATCCAAGTACCATTTTTTAGAGTTGCTACTATTTTTGTTCATATTCTGCAATCCTAACTATGTGATATGAGAAGCGTAAGTTGCTGTTGTACTGTTGTTTCCTACCTGATTGCACGTACTGATGTCCACTCCTCCTTTCAGGTATTCCAAAACCTTGTCGATGTTCCCTGCTCTTGCCGCTCGCAGGAAACTGGTGTTACTGTCCGACTGGAAGAGAGAAAGAGAACAATTATATTTCACGCAAATCGCATTAACATTTTCTCATTGTTTTTCATAATGAGACAACAGAATGGTAAATCGCACTGTGCCTCAATAAGCCACTCTTGGAATTCCTTAAGACATTGCACTTGACAGTATGAAGTTAGTTGACTCTGGGTCCAAACTCAGAGAGAGTGCAGTATGCACAGTTATGAAACCAACATGTTATGATGCACTATAAAGAAGCCAAACTATATTTGAGTATTTGAATATTATCTGCAACAATACTGCATCGATGATTAAATATAGCTTTTTCCTAAGTGCACAATAATGTGTTTGTCCCTCAGTGGCAAAGGACATGTCCCCTGTCTGTGTTTGGATGCTGAGCGAGCAGCAGTTGGAAACAGACCAGGACTGCAAGGAGGTAGAGTGATTCAGCATTTTCCTTTTGGTGCCTTCACTAAAGCCAAATCCTGGCTCACACACAGCTCGTTCAAAGCTCCCAGCTCTGTGCTCCTGCTGTGGAAAAACACTGTGATGCTTATTTTTACTTCAGTCAGACTGCGCTACGTAGAGGTCAGAGGTCAGACAGAAATACTGCAGCACCACACTGGAACTGTTGGGGACCCACTGTCTTGCTCATGGACACTTCGGTTTTTCAGCGGAGGAACTGTCTCTCGTTGGCTCTCAAGGTCATGTTTCGCCACAGACATCAGAGATCAGAGAAGAGGAGGCCGCACTGATGATGTACAAATCAAACACTGCGGCACTCTTTCCAGCAACATAAGAATAAAACTGGTCTGATGTCTGTGGCTGCAGTCATGGCCGCTCACTGATTGCTGCAGAGAACTGCACTGCATCACTCACAGTCACACTCAGCTAAGAGTGTGTGGGTTTACAGTAAGAAAGTACCTGATCAGCATGGCAGTTTGGTTTAGATGAAGCAAGGCTAGCAGTTTCCAGTTGCTTTTGTATAGTGTCTGTGCTAAGCTAAGATAAGCGTCCATGCCTGGTGCCTGTGCTGCGTGCAGAAGAACAAATCCGATACCAGTCTTTCTAACGTACCAGTGGGTAACAGGAAACAAAAAGACTACTTCCAAAATATCAAAGTGCAATTGAAATGCAGTGATGACACTAAAAGGTCTGATCACTTGAACTGACAGAACATGAGTCACAACTCGAAAGGGCAATGAACACCCACAGCGTCAATTGTCAACAGTCAGCATACAGTTGCTGTGGGACTGACACGCATCAGCTCTACAGAAAAGACTGGGTGATTAGATTTTTAATATTTACTGAGCTGATATTCTGTACTGTTCATTTTATCATTTTGTCACAGTGCAGTTTACATGATGTGAAAGGTAGTGTTAAAGATGATCCAATAGTTTTTATAACTAAACTAGCAATAGTTATAATTCCAAACTATTTAATTCAATGCTAGATACATTTAAAAAGGAGCAGTAGTATGAAGTATAAATAGAACATAAATAACATTATGCCATTCTGTATTGCAGTTTATTCTCACATTATAATATAATTATAATATTACTCACACGTAATTATTGTAGATTCATATAACATTCTATGGCATGGTTAAAGCTTATGGGGTGGCCTGTCTTTCCTCTCAAGTTCGGTCCTGGGAGTTTGAGGGTTCCGCACAGCATCTTAGCTGTTTCTAGGACTGCACTTTTCTGGACAGAGGTTCCAGATGTTGTGCCTGGGATCTGCTGGAGCCACTCTCCCAGTTTGGGGGTCACAGCACCTAATGCACATCTGTTCTAGCTGTTCTTTGAGCCCTTGGTACGCCTCGATCTCTTCGTGCTCCTTTCTCCTGACATCTTGACATATTAATACATATGTATTTATATTTTTTCAAAGTAGAATTACTATTTTAATGTATGTACACTATTGTTAATATACTGCAAATATGTAATACAGAACAATATAAACTTAAGTTAATGTGTAAACTGTACTCAGGCATCCTTACAACATATGGTGCACATATCTTGGCTGGTGGAGTTCTACAGTCTTTCATAAAGTATGTATTTTATTTCACTTTTAAAGCTTTATTCTGCTTATTTCAATTGTCATTTACTTCATTCAATTTGTTCCTGAGAGTCACCCTCCCTCCTACATTTCTGCAAAATGTCAATTCACCATCACGTTAATTTGTCAAGGCTGAAAATGAAGAGAGAAACCAGCATTCTCCTGCACAATAAAAAGGAAACTACTACACTGTGAAGTCCTGGAGAGACTTGCTCATGCTGCCTCATACATGTGCTCACAGAGTTGGCATTGTCCTCCAGCAGGACTGCACAAAGCCGCCATTACCACAATCAAGCCGTCTGACAACATCCTCACATTGCCCTCCGAGCTGCCGAGTCACATTATGCAAGACCTTGCCTTAATCATCCTTCAGCAACTGGCAGGTTGCTATAGTGACACTTGGATCAACAGGACACTCAGACAAGTGGAGCTTTTGAAAGGGAAGAGAAGAAGTTAACATCGGAGAGAAAGGGAGGATTGAGGCAGCGAGCTTCCTACAGAAATAGTTTCATAACTCCTGGTTTATAAGCAGCTTAGTCTGTTTGTCTCTCTTTGATGAATGTGCAGTGCACATGAAGGTCGTGTTCTGGTGAGCTGGCAAGGAATAGAAGAAGAAATACAAAATAAAGGAACCTTACTGGGGTGAAGGTTATTGCGTTTTTACTTTATTCATAAAAGGAATGTTTCAGAATGCAGTTAGAATCACTGAAATCAAAAATGGGTCTGATAAAATGGACTGTTAAATATCAACCACATATAATGGCATCATATGAGCCCCTTCTGTTACAATCTGTTTCTGCTGGTGTCGAGACATTACTTCCCGACTTCATCAAAGCATCGTCCTAAAGCTCCTCCGCCAACACATTTACATCAAACATTCATTTACAACGTCACTGTCTTCATCTGTGGAGTGAGAGGAGTGGTATCAATAATGCACAACCATCCCCTGAACCATCCCTAACACACACTCACACACACACACACTGTAAGGGACAGGTGCCCATGCAGACTGAGAGCATCCTCGCCCCTCCCAGTTACCACGGAGACAAGCACTGCCCTCTCTGGAGGTAGCCATGACAACATGCTCTTCTGTCTTGCAAAGCAAGCCCAGAAAACATAATGGGCATGGACTCATGAAGCATTGCCTGTAATGGACGTGATCGGTGTGTAAGCCATGTGGAAGATACACAGATATGAACTCAACACTGTTGACTACCATGGCTGACCAGTCCTGTAGGACACACGCTAAAACAAAAGACCTAACTTAATGTTTCAGTCCATTCCTAACCCTACCCCACAATTATATGAATCATTTACTAACAGACATTTCTCACTGTGTATAAAGAGCTTGCACTTTTTCATAATCCTCATACGGACACATCTGGAACTACAGTACAGAGAATCCTGAAACATTCACTGCATTCACCCTCCCTGTGATTCCATCGCCTTCATTAACATTACGACAAGAACAACTTGGAAGTGGTCAGTTTCAACCAATCAGAGCTCTCCTTGAGGACCCATCAGCACCGGGTCCATCAGGAGGATTATTTGTTTCAGCTAAATTTAGAAGATAAAGTACGATGGGGAAACATACAAGCTTTTATAGACCTTTCCCTATAGCTGCATCATATGCTGCACGTAGGCTGTGAAACATTAGGGCAGTACATATACATTATGTAAGCAGCGTTATGTAAGAAACAAACTCAATAAACACTTTTACAGTATTCTGCCATGGACACGTTTTAAGAAACATCCTGCTTAGACATATGACAAGGCTTTAAAAAAATAATCCACCCGATTAAAGCTTTAATTACTCGATTTGAAGTATTAACTAAATCAGGATGAAGTTAAAATTAAAGTTGCATTTATCACTTTTAAGTGGTATATGGTAATAAGAACTGTAAAACTGCATGTGACGAACTCAGCGAGAGAAGGGGTCAAAGGTCACAGGTCAAGACCTAGAGCTCTTCAGAATAGACCACGTCTAAAAACGGGAGGCGTGGGATATGAAAGATTTCCACAACCAAAATAATGATGACACAGGCGGTAGTACAACTGTAATAAAGTCTTATAAATTCACGGTGAGTGAACTGGCGCGGCCATGATTGTTTCTCTGTCACCATCTCTCCAGCGAGCTCATCAATAAAGAGCAGTTTATTAATGTAATAATCAGTAAGTATAAGAGACAGGATGATGATAATAACTGTGTTAAAGAGATCAATATGTCTGACCACGTCACACACACACTCAGAGACAATCTCGCTGTTTGCACACCTCAGTGTCATTTCACCGATTCCTAAAAGACAAAGTTTATTTTGAGTTGAACTTTCCCATTTCACATTTAACTTAACCCTGGGGCATACAGCTATACATGTATGTATTATGAGTCTGTATATTTTCTATCACTGTTGACTAGTTTAAAAGGACAATCATACATTTTTTGATTTATTTCTTATCTTCTTGGCTAAAATCTGCTTGAGATGATTAACATGAAAATAGAAATTATATGATGTCAAAAACCTGAGTTGACTGATAAGATCTCTAGGGCAGAAATAATACCCCCTGAACTTGTATTGGACCAGGAAACACTGGAATGCTAGGAGACATGTGTCAACAAGTGGCTGCTCTTCTCCATGGACAACTATGCAGCTATAATAGCGACAAGGAGAGTGATGATGGACTCACAGCAGCAGCAGCACACACCCCGGTCATTAACATGAGGAAGTCGATGAAGGTGTACAGCTTGGACGAGTGTAACTACTTTGGAACAAGGTTATGAAGATGTACGGCAGGGAACTGCAGCCCAACCTGGACAAATTGACGTCCATGAACGCTCCAGAGTTTGTGTCCGTGGGTTTCTAGACCTAGTTGACTTTAATTTGACGTCTCCAATCTACTGATGTGATTTGAGACACAAAACTGCCCATATTTGTGTTGCGGCTCAAAATATATTTATATGTTAGGATTCTATCTCAAGAGATACTCCACAAACAGGTTTGCAATTGATGGATATGAAGGAACAAGCTCCAGTATGTGGAAAAGGTATTAGGACAGGGAGAAACAAAATATTGTTGGCCCACTGACATATATTTTTAATACTGTAGTAAAAGTAAGACATTAAGACTCAGCAGCAGACTAAATGAGGGGTATGTTTTGCCTTGTATTCCCAGTAGAAGTACAGCAGCATGCTGCTAAAGTCATTACGTTGCTTTCAAATTAGCCACAAGAGTCCACACGTTGCTGTGCAGAGACACTTTTGGAACAAAAATGTCACACTGGCCTTTAAAGGGGGAGAAGAGTGAGCAACATGTGACCCCATCCCACGCAGTTACACACCAATACACACGCACTCTGATGAAGAGAAGAAACCCTAAACACCTTGATGATTTGTCAGATTAACACCTACTGCAAAGTACTGATTCAGAAGCTAAATCATTGAGTTCGGTGTAGTGCCGTTTTCTCTGAGAGCGGAAAAATTTATCACCTCCGTGCAAAGGCAGCTACTGTGAGAAGCTCCAAGACACACGCCAGCTGAGCGGCTTGTTAGTGACAGCTACACAGCTCATCAAGACTGCGACCAAAATAAAAATAACTCACGATTTAAAAGCGACACCTGACACTGTCAAACTTCCAACCTGGAAAAAAGTTACTCAAACTCGTCTCATCTGTACAAATCTCCTAAAATACCCCGAGAAGCAAGTCAGGAGCGTCCCAGTTGCCTGAAATTGCACTGTCTGCGCTGCACCTGCCAGTGTTAGTTCTTACCACCGTCAGTGGAGGCTGCACAGGATAATGCTCCTCGCAGTAGTATTCGGGGGCAGGATTCTGGTCCAGGTTAGATTGGCTCCCTGTCGTCCTCAGGCCCTTGTCCGAGCCGCACACCTTACACATGGCCGTGTTGCCCATGATGCAAGGTATTTAGGTCTATCCCATCAGAGCGTAGAGGAATCTAAGTGAGCATTTAATGAGTCTGATAATCCACTTCCCCCACCCTCCCCCTCAAAACCTTCCACGCTACCATGCGGGGGGGTGACCCCATCAGTCACAAACCTCACTCTTCCCTTAACCCTCAGCACGACTCCAGTCCCTCTAAGCCACTTTACTGGACTTGTGTCCTGTTACTACTGGCAGCGCGGTGCTAGCGCTTCCTCGTTGGTAATTCCAACTCCCTGACCATTGACTAACATCTCCCCCTTCCCACTCCACCACCCCCCATCCCGGCTATTTTTACACCCACCAGCCTTGCAATGCATGCAGGGAGAGAGAGGAGAGGGTGGGCGGCCTAGGGTGGCATGCCAAAACAGGAAGGGGGAGGGGCCACCATGGACACTATACAAGCATGGACTGATATGAGAACAATATTTTCAGCTCACATGCAAGGTCTCAAATTAAGCCTGTGCTCCAAAAGGTTCCTTTAAGTGACACTTCAACTATTTACTGAAACCAAAGACGCAAAAAGTCACTTTGGGGCCTCTGCTAATGGCCAACATCTTGCGCTTTAATGCTCAGTGAAGAAAGATATTTTTGAATTATGTCCAAAGCAAATTATTACGTATTTGACAATATTGTAGGTGTTTTTGTTTTTGACTTTGTTGCAAAGATATTCACTATTCCTTGTTTGTTTCAAGATGGAGATGCACCAGGGCACATCACATTGGCTATCACCAGCAGATGAATTTGGCCCAGTTGTCATGGTGACACACTCTTGTAACTTTGCATCTGTTTTGGATCAACGATTTAACATGAAGTTCTTGATTGTCAACATTGTAGTAATCAATCCTAACGCTCGGTGAAGACAGTATGATGTTGTTTAAAGCTGGGGCAGTCGGAACGGCTCCTTTAGGATTACATATTCAACCAGTGTAACCTGCCTCCATGTGACCTTTTCCTAAATGTCTCCCCCCACCACTGAAAACTAAGCCCTGGTTTTTAGTGCTTGCTTGACACATGCCTAAGAGCTGCAAGAACAGTACTGAATACTTGTCACTATCTTAACGTCTTGGATATTTGCACAACAGAGGCTATAGAATACTTAAATCTACGAATATAACTAAAAGTACATGCTGCTATCAGTTGATGACCCCTTCTTGTGACAGGTATACCAGGCTTTTTAAACTTCTATCTTCCAAAGTGACTCTTTTTTTTTTTTTGTCTTGATATCACGACGCCTCGTGTCATGGACTGGTTAATGGAAGCAGACATTGTATTTTGCTAATGCAGATCTGTGTCAGACTTAGCCCAGAGCAGGGCTGTATTGATTCTGCTGGATTGAATGTAAATTAGAGTCACACAGACCTTTTCACTGCAATTGATTTGCCCTCAGAAGCAATGGCATGCTGAGTAACACCAGCTTCCAACATCAGGGTCGCCATTTTTACCAAACATCTCAGTGTCTGTCTATCGGTTTATATTTGCTCTGCATGAGCACGTGAGTTTCAATGCCTGTTGACATCAGGGAGGTTAATGTCCCCATTCTCACTGCAGTCTGTTCTAGGTCAAAACTCACACAATGCTCTTACTGTCGGAAATATCACCCAAACAATTCTCATTCAGTGAACATGGAAGCGTAGGGAGAAAGAATCCTCATTATTGAGGGCATCACAGAAACCACTTGACAAAGTAGCTTTGGTGTTTTCTATGAATGAGATGGATATAAACTGAGCGAGCACAAGATCTTCACGGTTACCATTTCAGACAAAATCACCGGTTTCTAGCAAATTTCTTGAGAAGAACTGAAAACCATCTTAAGACAATCACTTACAGAAGAGGAACAAATCTTTTGAATTAAAATACAAGCAAATCAGTTGCATTTCCAGAAGATCTATAAAGAGTATTGCACTGTAGGCAAAAATATTTTATTATGATCAATAATAAAAAAAAGATCTACAACAACACTTTAAATGCTTTACTTTTCCAAAATAAGACTGTTTTAAGTTGAAATCTAATTAAAAAAATATCTTTCTTGGAATCAGGTCAAGGAACTAAAATTTTGGTTTTGTGCTTATTAAAATAGTTTTCTCAGTCTTTACAGACAAGGATGGGACCAAGTGTGGAACTCTGTGGGACAGCATTAGTTAAGTAATATCCAATACTTTAAATGAACCTGACATCCTACCATTGTTTATTAGCTTTCTATCTTTCGGTTGTGCAAGATGTTCTTCGCTAACATTTAGCATATCATTGGGAACATTTAGTGTTTCTAACTATATAATTGCAAATTTTACAGGCTGACACCTCTGAGCTGGAAAATTGCTGTCAATTTTGATTTCATTTCTATCTAATAAAATCCTCATAATTAGGGGCTGTGGATTTGGAATTTTAAAGGAATTAAAGTATAATTCTAAAGGGAAGCAAGTAATTGGCTGCTGGTCAGGTAAGATGTTGGTAATTTTGTGTAAAATCACAGAACCAGGTAAAATGTAACATAATGAGCTAATAGTCGAACAATAGAATCCGTAATCTGAGCAAGCAATCAAGGGCAATTTTAGAATATATGACCCAGGACCTACAGAAAATACATCATGCCTGCCACTTGTGTTATGTCTCCTCTCAAGTTTTAATAGTCTGCTTTTAGAAAAAAGAAGAAAAGAAGAAAAAGGTTTATACATTCTCAGCTCACTTTAGCTCCATTTCTACCAAAATATACAATGAGACGTGGCTTTCCACTGCTCTGTCACTTTATAGGCCTTATTCAGTTCCATTAACCTTCTCCTGGATGTTATTTACTTAACGTCTTGTCCAATCTCCTTACTAAAGAGCAGTCATCTGTCGCACACTTATCCCATTAGGGTAGCAAATGGATTAGGGCATGGCTGTGTATGTAAAGACGGAAAAATGTCAGACCTGGCCCTGTATAAGTAAACCACACGATTCCCTTAAATGCTCAAGCATAGAAGTCACTATTCTTTGGTATCTGCAACTCCCACCAAAATCTCCGCCCTTACATCCGGTCCCACACGAACACGACCCCCACCCCTGCTCTGCAGTCCCTCTGTGGGTTCGTAATCCACCGGGCGGGGCAGGCGTTGACAACAAATGCTTTTAATCTGTGCTCGACCATATGGCTCGCTGGCTGCGGGAGGGAGGGGGTTGTTAGGTAAAGCCACTTGTTTATGTTCCTGCTGTTGGGGGGGGGGGACTGTGCAGACGAGGACTGTATGAAAGGCTTTATTAGAGAAGGGAAAGGTTGAGGGGGCTGTATTAGATATTTATATTCAGTCGTCCAAGCAAACACAAATCTGGGATTAATTATCTAACCTACTCCATCAAGTACATTAATGCTACATGTAGGCATTAATCAGAATTAAACATATAAGAGATTTGTCTCCAAATAAGGAACAGAATCCACTATAACACCACTGCTATGGATAAAAAAAACATGAATTATAGAAGTTGGAGGCTAGCGTTGCTATGGAAACAGATTTGGAAAAGGTTTATACATGGATTTTTTCTTTAGTTACAAAAAAAGACAGTTGCGGAAAATGGCATCTTCTGCCTCCAGGTGAGTCTTGGCTCCTTATCATCTCTGCCACTGTGAAACAGTTCAGAAATCTGGATAACATAATGCCACAGTATTCTGAGTCCTGTCAGGAGCACTCCCTGCAGAATATCAAAACTGAGATAACAGCGTGCAGGTAAACACCCTTATGTTAACATGTACATTCTTTCAATTAGGAAAAAACACAGGTCAAGGGGGACACCACATAATCCAGCACTACATTAAGTTCTTGGTACTGGATGGAACTATGGGCCAGATGTTAGAGAATTAAGCAACAGTTGTCCTCCTGTAAAGCCTGTGTGTCCAGTCACAGATGATTGCTGGAGACTCCCTGCTGCGGAACAACAGCACAGCTGCCCGTCCAGCACACAGGCCTGTACTCACTGTACATATGTTCAGTGCACCGAGTTTAGAGTTGCATTCATCTCACGCAGGACACAGATTCACGATGCCATAGAAAACTCTTTCATTTCTATTTATTCATATATATAATAATAGAATGGATACTGTGTTACACAATGGTCTTCTCAGCCTGACTAACTTCTTTTACCGTTATGTTGCTCCTTAACTTTTTGGACATTTATTTTCTCATAATGGTGTCCTAGTTTCTCCAGATGCAACATTAAATGTCCACTGAGACACAGAGTATAGAGGACATAATAATAATAATAATAATAATAATAATAATAATAATACAAACTATTGTTATGGTAAGTTAAGTCAATTTAATCCTAAAAATATAACCAATTTTATATATAAAATTATAAATACCAGTTTTACATGTGTTTGAAAGACATGTAGGCTTGGATAGTCTAATAAAATTCTAGTTGCATGGTGGGAAAAGTAGGATCTCATTGCAGACTGAGCTGAACAACTGTCTGGTTACCTCAGCCTCGGCTGCATCGACCTTTTTTCCTCAATAAATGATTTGCAAACATTTAAATCACTTCTTTGTAGCTCATTCAAGAAGATGTTTATTTGAAACGTGTGCGGAAACGTCAAGGTGAAATATACTGCTTCAATGATATTGCTGCAGATTGTTTCTTTGCTCACTTTATGCGCAGTGATTCAATCCCATGTCCGGCAGGAAAACAAACATTTGTCATGTTTATGGGAAAACAGAATTGAAGGACAAACTGTGAGTAAACACAAACACACACACTAGGTAGCAACGTTGGTGCCTGGCCTGGATCCAGTGGGGCAAATTAATCTCAGTGAGCCTCTACCCCAGCTCTGTTTAATTGCGTTTGTGTCACTACAACAATGTTTTAAGCCTGACAGCCATAGCACGACATCCCAAAAAACACACATACACATAAACGGTGAAGAAGCGTGTGTGGAGGGATGATGAACCTGCCTAAAATAGCCGGCCGCACACCCACAGAGCTGCATGAGAGATGAAAAGAAGAA